TAGCACCCTGGATTTGCTGAGGAACTCCCCTTGCCTGCTGAGGCTGCAGTGCAGGTGAAGCAGGGAAGTTGCTGTCCCCATAGTGATGCTGGCATGGGAGCAGGGAAGATCCTGCCCCTCTGGCCTCTTTCTGTCTCCACCTTGTCGTGTTCCTTGGTTTACCGTGAACTTTGCCTTTCCTTGTGTCTCCCTACAACATCCCTTTCCAAGTGGAGTCAGCAAGTTCCAGGCCATTGAGAAGCCCTGCATACCTTGTGGTATAAGCCTGGGTTTTGTTTCTTTCCTATACCCCTATTGTCTTTTCTTTTGAACTTTGTGGCATTTTCTAAAAGTTAAGTGGCTTAAAGACATGGGCTATGGCAGTGGTCACCCAGGCTCTTCTTGCCATGCCCCTGACTTACTGCTGCATGCCTTGAGCAAACCACTTAGGCTTTTGAGACTCATCCTTGTGTACAGAGTAGGGCAGCAACGCCTATCTCACAAAGCTGCTGTTTGTATTCTGGGGGTCATGGTACAGTGTTAGTAATGTATGTTGTGAGGGACACAGTAGTCCCTAGCGCAGTCTGGTTGATCAGAATAGCAAAGACTTTACCTGCATGCACTCCCATTTGAGTCTGGGTTTTCTTCCTAAGCTTTTTACTTAGATTATATGTCCTCTTTGCCTTCTCCTTTCCTCAGGCTGTTTCTCACCCAAGATGTCTCCCAGGGCATGGGCTACTTAAGGAGCAAGGTGTCTCTTTGTAGAGCTGCTCATGGGATACTTACCTTTCTCTTGACCACAGTCAGTTTACCTTTAAGTTAGAGTAGATGGTGTCTGTCTTCGTTATGGTTACCATTACTGTAACCATTACTGAATCACAATGACCAAAAGCAATTTGGGGAGGAAAGGGTTTCCTTGGGTCATACTTCCACATCACTGTTTATCATTGAAGGAAACCAGGGCAGGAACTTAAACAGGGCAGGAATCTGGAGACAGAAACTTATGGAGTGCTACTAACTGGCTTGCTCAGCCTACTTTATTATAGAACCCAGGCCACCAGCACAGTGGTGGTACCACCTACAGTGAGCTGGGCCCTTTCACATTCACTCATCAGTCAAGAAAATATACAATAGGTTTACCCACAGTGGGGGCATTTTATCAATTACAGTCCCCTCTTCCAAAAAGACTCTAGCTTGTGTCAAGTTGACATAAAACTAGTGAGGACACTGCCTCACAAGGTTGGGGTCAGAGACATTGCTGAGCCTGGCATCCATCCTGGTGCATGCACAGTAGATGTTTGGTAGCCTAGAAGCTGGTATAGAGGAGGTTCTGGACCTTGGTACCCTGCTGCCATCCTCCACTCCACCACTTTCACACCACCTCCTGTGTTCTGTTGTGCTACCACTCAAGGCCACCAAAGGATCATATACTCTCCCAGTTTAAAGGCTGAGAGTCCAAGTGCAAGGTGTGTGCAGTTCCTGGCCCTCTCACCCAGTGGAGGAGCTGCAGGTACTTGTGGTAGCCCCCTGTACTCTTTGGCTGATAAAGTGTAGTACAGTATTCACCTCTGTCCTCAGAGCACCAGCGTTTCATGTGTCTCATGTGTCTGTCTCTGTTCCTTCTCTTCTCATTAGACTGTGAACTAGATTACCACTGGGTTTGGCTCATTCCACTTCCTCTGTTACCTGTTTTTGCTAAGTATATCCATAGCCACACTGTGTCCAAATACGGCCATGTTCCAAGGCCCAGGAAGGATGTGGACAGTGAAGGAAACTCAGCCTCTGACTTCTATGTGTGCTTATTCCTTCCTGGGCCACCCTCATTGGGCACCAGTTTCTATCTTGGCAGATGTGGGATCCAGATTGATGTAAGCTAAGCAGAAATATAGATGTGTACTTTATAAACTGAAAACCTGACTGGCTTCTGGCATGTTAAGGCGATATGTGATCTGAGAGAGGGCTGTGGCTACCGGGGACCTGATTTTTGAGCCATTTGCTATAAGACTTTGCATTTACAGAGTGTGTGTTGAGACTGTTTGCCCCGGGTCAGCTGAGCAAGACTTCTACAACCACCTAAGCTGACACCCATTTACAAGATTATTCTTACCTGTTAAGCTGTTTTGTAACACTAGGTAAAACAGGTCACCTTGTATAGGGTAAAGCTACCCAACACCTGCTGCCAAATGGTTTGACCTGACTAGCCCTACCCTACTTCAGAGAAAGATTCACTTTAGGAGCTGTGCCTCTCCTCAGATTCTTCGGTTGACATTTGCCTGCCTGTGTGCACTCCGACTGTCCTGAAGTCCCTGTGGAAAGGCACTGTGGCCTCAGCAGTAGCAGTGCTGTACAAGAGGTAGATTTCACACAGCCCACTTTCTCCCTGCCTAGGAACCCACTATGTATTCTCTGAAGTTTCCTCTCAGCTTCTAGGCCCTCTTATCAGAGAAAAGGCATTAGTGAGGTGGGCAGCCCTAGGGGTCATGAGAAAAGAGGCTAAGTGATGAAGCCACTCTTCTCCTCACTTGCAGCTCAGCCTATATCAGCAGTTCTGTCACACATGTATGGAGGGAAACGTGAGTCGGAGCTCTGGCTCCCAGTGTGCCTTACACTGGGCCCAGGAGCCTGCCAGTGTACTTTCTCAATAATGACAGTAAGCCTCATACCACTTAGAACTGAGGTAATAGCCTCTGGTGTCTGCCTGGTGTCTGGTGCCTACAGACCATGACTATGCAGGATTAACTCTGTGCAGGGAGGATGCCTGTACCTTCCCAGGTGTGAGACAGAGAACAGAGCCAGGAGGGGCGACAGTGGGATAGGGATGCAAGCTAGGAATTGAGGGTGATCTTGAGGGACTGCAGAGCAGTGCTCGTAGAAAGCACTTGTCTGAGACATGAAGCCACTGAGAACTCTGTCTTCCAAGGCCATACAGCTCCAAAAGGTCCATGACTGGACAAGCTCTTGGGAAGATACAAAGGAGGTGATGCCACAGTACATACAGGGCCTCTGTGCATCAGGTAGAACCTGTCAAGGGGTCTCCAAAGGATCAGGAGAAAAGCACCTCTCCCTCATGTATCTGAAGATGTGATGTAAATGCAGAAACAAAGACCCTAGATGACCTCACTGGAGCTTGTTGGGAGGAAGCCCCCTTGAGCAGCATTGGGCACAACTATGAGATTTAGGGGGCTTCTACACTATAAGTAGTTTTTCTCTCCTGTGGCCTGGCAGCTTGCCACAACATCCCAGCCAGCCTGCCCACTTCTGTTGCAAACCTTCTGTCTTGTTCAGACCTCCGTTGACTCTTATTGTCCCAGCTAAATATGGGTTCCTCACTCCTTCACTGGCACATGTCTTAGGGATAGACCTGTGACCAAGTTCTGCTCAGCAGAGAAAAGTGAACTGGGTGTGTGAAGTTTCTAGGAAGAGTCAGGCCTGGTTAAATGAGGCACCATGCCTACAGAGGGCATAGTGCACGATGACTGTGGTCCGGGGCTAGTTCAGGAAGAAGGATGGACCCCAGGCAGCATCATGAAGCAAATGGCAGTGGAAGAAGACCCCTGGGCTGGGCATGAGACATTGCAGACTTACTTCCTAACCCCATGATGACTTTGCTGCTGCTTTTCTTAACAGATGACTTTCACTTGGTTGAATTATCTTGATAATAGCACTCTCTCCTCTGATGTCTGCAGCGTGGCTGACACTCTAAATTCAGAGGTGCTGGGCAGGAGAACAGCAAGCTGGCCTGGAACATGGCTTGCATAATACTCCTTTTTATTGCCAAAGAATGTGAGGAATGGCTCACTATAGCTTTATAACTGTCAGGTGTCACTGCAAGTCCACCACAGCTGCTACAAACATGGGCAAGCTTTGGCAAAAACCCATCTGGAAAGCTGATGGGTAAATGGTGCCACCACAATGTCAATAAATATGCCCTCCCCATATACTGGCTGTGATGTGACTTCTTTGTACCACAGTTTTCTCATGTGGGAGAAGGAGGTAGGGAGGAATAAATAACGTCTGCCACATAGAGCTGGGAGAGATGCTGGGGCATGTTTTCACCAGTGTGCTGCTGTGTGAGCCACTGGGGTGGGCATGAGAGAGTAAGTATGCACAAGGCCCTGGGTAAAGGGGTTAAAGGAGGTTTGTGGGAGGGGAAGGATGAGTGTGAGGGAATGGGTACCTGGTGGGGAGGGAAGAGGAGGTTTAGATGTGGGAGGGGTGTGAGAGTGAGTGCTTTCAAGTGGGGGACTCTGGGATCATAGAAGAATGTGTGTGAGAGAGTGGGAATGTGTAAGGTGTGTGAGAGTGTGTGCAGCTTTGTGTGTGCGTCGTGGGAACACTGGATATGTGACAGTGAGGGAGACAAGAAGAGATTGGTCTGTATGTCAAAGGTGGCCCCAGGGAGTTGGGAGGGGCACCTGTAATAGTGTAATCTGTTTACTTTTTTATCACTTGCTTTGCATCATAGTTGTAGAAAGTCAGCATACTAATTTGTTAGAGATTCTGAAACTATTTTGATAAAGGACGAAAGAAAAGGTAGTAAAATGCCTCAACACATCACTACAATTATCTCTAAGAAGTGCATTTGTGTTTTATCTTTTGGACATCTCTGTAGGTTTCCTGCATCACAGTAGTAAAATTAGAACAAGGGTTTTGGGGGGAAATGGCATTCCTGTCACATTGCTGTGACATCAGGTCAACAATGCACAGAAGACCCCTTGGACCCAGCCTGACCCAGCCAGCTGGGAGGTTGACCAGTACCACACCCTCTAACTGGGGCCCTGCCCACCAGGCCCCTCACCCTTCCTGGTTACACTGGCAGCAGCCAGTCAGCATACAGCCCTATACCCCAGTCCATTCAGTATTGGCCACTGACCATAGGACCAGACCCTGCATCTCCTCACTTGTAGAGTGAGCTGGCGCATGGATAGACGGCCAGAGCTTATCTAGTGTCTGTCTGGGTGTTGAGTGTGAGTTTTTGCCTCTCATGCCTTCTAACAGCCATCCCTCTTATCATCCCCCAGGCCCCGCAGAGTGGAGCCTGTGTGCTCTGGCCTACAAGCCCAGATCCTCCGCTGCTACCGTGACCATCTGCATGAGGTGCTTCTGTGCTCGGACCTGGTCAAGGCATACCAGCACTGCGTAAGCACCGCCCGCAAGGTGAGGCCACCTGCCTTAGTGTGTGAGCATGAGACAGTCTATGCTTGGGCCCCTGCATTTAGCTGTTCCATGCCTCAGAGCCATTTCTCACTACTCTTGGGACCCCAGACATGTCCGTGGGAGCAGTAGCCCCTGTGCTGCTCTACCTGGCTGGGCTTATGAAGTCTGTCCACCTTCCTGGAGCAAGTGGCAAGTTTCTCAGCTTTCAGCAGGGGGCTGAGAGGACTACCCAGTTATACCCCTAGCCTTCCTTGGCAGAAGCAGCTCTAAGCCCTGCTCCATCCACTCTGTGTTGGTAGCTGTGTTCAGTCCCTGTGCCTCCTTAGTCTATCTCACCAGTGTATCTTCATTGTACTGAATGATGCTGGACAGACTGCAGGAAGTTCCAATGTGCCTCTGTCACTACACATGCCTAAAAAAGGCTTAGGACCTTCCAGGCTCAGCTCTCCTTCCTGGCCCTACACCTAATGCTACTGGAAACATCAGAGGCCAGCTGGGCCCCCAGCCACCTCTAGACTGTGCATGCAGTCACCCTGTGACTAAGATACACTTACTGGAAAAACTTGGTGCCCTCTGCCAGCTTCACAGAACATGGTCCCTGGCAGAGGAGAGATAGGAGTGAAGGATCCTCAGGAACGATTATCTTCCAAAAGCAGTGAGATGGCAGAGGCATTCCTGGGTCAGCTCAGGACACCTGAGGTCTTTCCTCCAGGCACAGAGCTATATACCTGCCTGGAGGTCTGCAGAGCTCCCTAGAGCAGGAACCAGATTGTGCAGTTGCATTCTCCCAGTGTCTCTCAGAAAATCCCTAGTTGTCAAGCTAGAGAACGAGGAGGGCCTTGCTTAGGTAGAGCAGAAATGGGCAAGGCTGCACCAGGCTAGGGTAGGGGTTAGCCATACCACTGTAAGAACAGAGAAGAGGGCTGGGCCTCTGGGGATAAAGAGGTGGTGCTGTCTACTATTGCTGCAGAATATGTTAAGTAAGAGCCTGTATCCTGCTGGGCAGTGAAGAGAGACCCAGTGTAGGTCTCAGGCCAGCTAACTGACTAGTAGCCAGTTATGCTGCAAGGAAATGCCACTGTCCAGTGCAGTTTGCAGGAACCTGGAAAGCATGGGGCTGAGGTCTCTTGCAGCCCAGGCCTGGGACATCTCTGGGGAAGAAGAGGGCTCAGCTGAACTTTGGCTGTTCTCTTTGAAGGGCTGAGGAGCAGCATCTTTCCTGGAGCCTTGAAGAAGGGATGGATCATGGGACCACAGATCATGGCCCCCATTCCCTGCAGTCTCTGACTGAGTACCCATATGCCTCTGAGCATGGGGCTGCCATGCTCAAGAAACAGTATGTGCTACTGATTGAAAACAAATAAAGCAGATGTCTTTGTTTGCAGTCATTCACTCATTGGCACCCAGTCACTTCTGTTGACTCTGTGTCCAGCCGTCTGTTGGTCACTAATGACACAGAGCCTCACAGGACAGACTGCTTCTCTGGGGGAGTACTAGGCATGGCAGGGGATAGCATGGAAACCCATAACTACATGACCACATAAAAGCCACCATGGAGCAAGTATGAGAGGAAAGAAGGGAAGTGGTGTTTTCTTGGGATGGTGCCAGCATCCAGAAGGACCTTCTGTTTGCTCTCAGGAAGGCTGGTGGATAATTGCAGGACAGAGCAGAGCTGTGAGGAGTAGGCCCCAGGTGAGGAGGAGCAAGGTGCTCTGTAGCTAAGGGGGCAGTAGGCATAAGAAGAAAAGGAATTTGGGGAAGGGGTATCCGGGCTGGGAAAGCCAGGCCTTGAGCAGAGGCTGTGCTGTTCAGGTACCTAGAGCCATGGCATTCTCTCACAGGAGGGTCAGACTGAAGTAGGGCCAAGCCAGAGAGCACTATGGTCTGCACTGCCCAGGAGGATGAGGCTACCCTGCTCTCCTGGGCCAGAGCAGGTGTCTGAATAGGAGATTGAAAGGATGGACAGTTTTCAAGGCTCTGATATGGTGCTGGTGGCAGCACTGTGGTTCAAGCGTGAGGACTGAGATGAACAGATCTAAATACCAGCCTGCCAGTACTCAACCTTCTCTGTGACAGCACACCAAACACCAGGACCACACTGGGGCTTGCATTATGTCCTGTCCTGACAGGGGTTTGAGTGGAACTTGGGGTTCTCTGGCGTCTCTGCTAGGAACCTTGTATCTCCCATTCAAGTTTGCTCTGGGAGTCCCTGAGCCATCTGGAACTGAGTGCCCTACACTCAGGCTCAGCAGTTCATCCCTGTACTTCTTCCTTGAAGCCCAAAGGAAAATTAATGTTTGGGAGATAGCCACCATCTAGCCAGGTTTGCCTGGGAGCGGTGGTCAAGAAAGGCAGCCTCGGCACCCTCCCTCAGTGTTCTGGATGAGTGCCTCGCAATGTGTAGGGAAGCTAAAGGGTGTCCTAGCCTGAGCCCTACAGGGAGAGAAAGACCTGCTGGGATGAGAGAGGTCACAGGTCTCATGGCTTCTTGACCTTAAGTGACACCAGAGCAGTCCTCTATCTAGGAACAACGATCCTTTCTGTGCCTTCCCCATAGACCTAGCTATTAGACATTGTCTGTCTTGAAAATCCCACAGCGGCAACATGCAGACATCCTTCCTAGTCTGCAAGCTCAGTCGGGCTCCAGGGCTGGGCATCAGACACTGCCAGGTGTGTGAGCCCCTGGGAACTAGACTGCACCATTCTATGCCAGCTCACTCTACTGGGAAACAGGCCTCCCCCAGACCTGGCTAAATGGCACCATAGATGTGGCTTCCAGCACTGCTGAGCAGAGCTTCTGTCCTGCTCCCTTTCGGCTGCCTTGTACCTTGCTTGTGTCTGCAGACATTGGCAGGTCAGCAGACAGCCACTGGCCACTAGGATCTCCCTCTCACTCCCCTGCCCAGCAACTGCCAGACTATGTAGCTTCATCCAGTGTCCCTCTACAGGCCAGGACTGGTCTCTGGCTCAAACCAGCTGAGCAGGAGCCCCAGCAGACACACACACTCTTACTCCTGGCCTACAGCCTCTAGTTTAAGTGCTCTGGTGGCACTGCTAGCTGCTTGAGGGGGAAAGGGAGTGCTGTCTTGGCCTCAGAGCTCTGTAGGACCATGTTCCTCTCTGGGAATGGCAACACTGACCAGTCTCAGCTGGAGTCTGTCTAAAGAAACCCTGGGGTGGAAGACAGGAACAGCTTGTCAAGACATCTCACTGACAACAGATGTGATGTTTATCCAAACTACAATGCCTATAGGGTCTTGGGACCAAAAAGCAGTGCTCAGGAGAAGCTGACTTGGGATAGCCTGGGGAACTCCAGTCTCTAGCAAAGGTCAGGACAGTATAGGGGTACAGGTCCTTGAACTATATAGTGTTCTGCAGGCTGCCTGACCCTCCCTGTGCCCTTTATCCAGAGCCTCAGCCTAGCTGCCTGGCCTGAGGGCAGCCATGGAATCACAGCAGGAAGGAAGATCTTAACTGGCTTTCACTTGTCATTCTAAAGCTGGGAGATGCCTCCTCCTATGAAAAGATGAGTGTCTAGAGCCAAACAAAGGAGGCTGACTTCTTAGAAAGTGCTGGGGAAAGCAGAAACCCAGCACAGGAGATTAGCCATATCAGTTATTCTCCATAAAGAAAGCACAGAGGGAGGCAGTGCAGCACACTTGGCCTTGTGATTGGCCAGCATAGGAGATCCTGTTCTTGGAAAACTGGCCCATTTCAGAGTTCAGCTTGCAGACTTAGAACCCAGCAGGAGTCGCTTCATTCTAGAATGGTCTTGTCAACTAGGGCCCTAGAGAGGCTAATCTCAAAGATGGCCATCTGTGAAGAGTCACAGTGCTCTTAGCCTGGGCCTCCCAGCATAGTGTCTTCACACAACACACAGTGCACGCACGCACACACACACATACATACATTGCATCTTTCTGCTTTTCGATAGCTGATGCTTAGTCCTGTTCCAACTGCAAGTGGGCCTGACTTTCCCCCACTACCTCCCCAGAACTCAAAGCACACCCCCCACGCAGCCTCCCTCCCTTCTCACTGTACCACAAGCACCCCTAATGGCAGCAGAGCTTTAGGAAAAGCTTTCCATGAAGCCTTCACTTCCACCTCCTAGTGCCACCATGACAGAGCCGGTCCATCTAGACTGAAGTCCTTGAGCCTCCACAACTCCTTGAGACTTGGGGTGGGAGAGGAGCCAGGACTGAGGAGTGGACAGACTACTTATCACCAAAGCCTCCATCTGTCATTTCTTGTGCTACACTTCTAGAACGGTTTGTCTCTAACTCAGAGTGGGAAAGTTGACATGTGGTTACCAGAGAAAGAACTTGGGCCTCAGGCCTAGAGACCTCAGTTCAGCAAGTCCCTGAGCTTCAATTTCCACATCTACAAAACAGCTAAAGCAATGTCCAGGCTTTCTAGGGAATGTCTGCTCTGTGACTTCTTCTATTTTCTTTGACAAACAGCTGAAGTTTGCAAGGAATGCCCTCTTCCAGCCCTAGTCTTGACACCCACCCCCTCCTCCCCCAGGGGAAGAGGGTACCCAAAAGTAGAGCAGATAGAGACACAGCATGTGGTCAGAGACAGCCTGGATGGACCAGATCTGAAGTTAACAAGACTGTTTCCTTTTCAGGTGTGTTGGTTACAGGCTTTCTGTCATTTGCAACAGAATCCCCAGGATAGAGCATGATGGTAGGAAAAAACCTGTCACAGTGTTGACTCCCCTTCTTCCTGAGCCAATCTGTTGAGGGGAGGGGGGCTGTGAAGATAAGGCAGCATAGTCTTCCACAGGCACCCAAGGAGCGCTTTTACTCAGCTTCCATCAAGTCGGAGACGCTGGTCTGGGAGGGGAAGATTCCTGAGTCTGCTTAGGCCAGACCCAGCTGAGATTTGAGCAGTCATCTCAACTAGGCATCCTACCCACCTTTAGAGGCCCAATGCTGACCATAGGCCATGTTTCCCTGCCCCAACCTTAGTACTCCAAAAGAATGAGGGTGTGTTAGCTGACTCCATCAGATTCCCTATCTCTGTTTGTTCTCCCTGGGTAGGATTGGGTGAGGGAGGAATGGTTGACTTTTCACTGCACTTTTCTCTTCCTGGGCCACATGATATATGAGTGTGCAAGTGTGAGTATGCACATGTCCATAGAGGAGTGGGAGTTCTGTCTTGCTTATGTCTGTATGTCTCTGGAGTGTGTTCTCTTATGTATACTTTTGTGTGCCTAGGTCTTTTTTTTTTTTTTGAAAGAGTTTATCTTACATCTTACAGTACATTATGAATGGTAGTCAGGACAGGAAATCAAACATGAACTTGGAGGCAGGTGTGCCTATGTCTTATGCCTGTTCTGTACGCAGGTGGCCAGCCTCAGCACACCTGCTGATGTAGGCTTGCTATAGGCTTTCCCCAGCCTGGACCTCATCCCATGTCCATGCCTTCCCTGATGCCAAAAGCAAGCTTCCCTGTAGGAAGTGTGTGTGTGTGTGTGTGTGTGTGTGTGTGTGTGTGTGTGTGTGAGAGAGAGAGAGAGAGAGAGAGAGAGAGAGAGAGAGAGAGGAGACAAAGACAATGCAAGGTGTGTTCCTGTGTATGTACGTTGGTACTTCCAGTACCTTACCTGGTGGACAGGTATGTTAGACAATGTGCACTTCAGGAATGTCCTAGAGCAATGTTGGTGATTTCAGCTGATGTGATTTGTCATTCTTAGTCCAACCAGGAAAGCAGAGAACGCCATGATTATTGCTGAGGCCAGAGGGAACAGAAGGAGACAGGAGCTGAAACCTCAGCTGGGTGTTGTGATGAACTCTAGATGAGCCCCAGCAGGAAGCTCCTGGCCCACTAGGGCTAGAGACACAAGGAGAAAGGATTGCTGGCACCATGGGGATGCCAGGGGGTGCAAGGGGGTGCTGTTCAGGGAGCAGAGGCACAGCTACAGAGGAAGGGCTGCCCATGGAGGAGGAAGAACTGTCCCCCTGCTTGGTGTGCTTCATCCCACCACCCATCATCATTGAGCCTCCAGAGCTGGACACAGCAGGGAGCCAGAGGCTCAGGCAGCTAAGGGAGCTGCAGCTGCCCAGGCTGAGAAGGAAGGGCCTGAGTAATGGTACAGCTGTTCATTGCGCTGTGGTGGCATGTATGCCTGTGCCTGTGCCTAGATGGCTGTGAGCAGTGGGTGTCAGCGCAGGTGTGGACATGGACCTGTGAGTTTTATACCCTGTCTTGGCAGGTAGTGGACAGCTGGCAGAGAATGATACCAACAGCCAAATCTCACACTTAGCAGACTTTAAACAGGAACCAGAACAGTGTGCATGTTTGTTTAAAGCCTTACACAGCAATATGGCATAATTACTGCTATAATCATCTCATAGATAAGGACAGGACAGCAGGGAGAATGTAGGTAA